ACTAAATATAATTTTTAAGTTGCATATATAGTTTAGATGTTTTGTACAAAACTTTTACTACTATTTCGCGATTATTTTGCCAGATACCTATCAGTTCATATTATTTTTTAAAATAATATTGAGATGCTTGGTGAAAACGTTTTTTGACTGGCATGTTAAGAAATTTTTGTTTTAGATTAGAGTAGAGATTTATATTGCATTACATTTTAACACATTTCTTCAACATTTACTTTGCATTAGTTCAAATTTGTTTTACTTCCTTTTAGTAAATCATCTGCTTGGCGATTTATTTATTTTTATTTGTATTAATCGAAGATGTGGATACCAAATTGCCGTGCCTTCTAGTATGATGCGATCTCCTTTCGTTGCATAGAAGTGATTTATCCTTGTCGCAACTTGGACGTATCATCAAGGAGACCTAGATTAACGCACCTTGTCAGGAGTCAATTATTGTTTCGATTGTCGGATAGTGGACTTGGTACATTTTCAGAAGTCTCGCCTCCATCGTAGTAGGCATTGCCAGTGAGCCTTGTCATTCTTAGCATTGCACTATAACTCGTCAAAGAGATTTATTCTGCTTCAAAAGAGTGGTAGGGCTCGCTGAGAATGCCGTCGAAATATCGGAGAATGTATTAAGTCCATTGTCGGAGCTGGAAATGATCATATATATAATGGACTCCGCAAAAGGTGCGTTAATTTAAGTCTCTGACAATACGACCTAGTTGAGATAACGAGTTGAAACAAATTTCATTTGTATTGATTAAATCTACATTGCTTTTATTTTCATGAATATCTGAGTTCAGATATTATTTATTCCTATAAGAATTATAGTCACTCCAGGTCGCATAAAGTAAGGAAGGATTGAGTATTGCATTTTTTCACACTGGTATGAGCAGGTTTCACAATTTCATTAACTTTCAATTGGCTTAATTGAAGATATGAAGACCAAGATGTTGTGGCCTCTTGTATGGTCGCAGTCTCCTTTCGATTTATAGAAGTGGGTTGATCTC